AGGTGTTGGTTTCATAAACTTGACCGGGCCCTACAGACATTCGGTTTTACGCGATCATACTCCGATTATTCTCTTTTCACATATTCGAAGGATATGGCTCGGCTTAATGTGTTGGTATACGTTGACGATTTGATTGTCACCGGTTCTTCCTCGGAGCTCATTACGCGGTTCAAAGAGTATATGGCTGTGTGTTTCTACATGAAGGACCTCGGTCCTCTTCGCTACTTTCTCGGCATTGAGGTGGCGCGGAGTCAAGCGGGCATTTATCTCTGCCAACGCAAATATACACTTGACATCATATCCGACTCGGGTTTACTTGGTGCTAAACCAGCGTTATTTCCTCTCGACCAGAATCATCAGTTGGCTCGTGATGACAGTCCTCTTCTCGCCGACCCGGAACCTTACCGTCGGCTGATTGGGCGGCTCATTTACCTTGTGAACACTCGCCCAGACCTTGGCTACAGTGTTCAGCTTCTATCCCAGTTTATGCAGTCCCCTCGGGAGGCCCAGTGGGATGCCGCTCTACGAGTGGTCCGTTACTTGAAGAAGAACCCAGGTCAAGGCATCCTGCTTCGGTCTTCGACGCCTTTACGATTGACGGGATGGTGCGACTCGGACTATGGAGCAGATCCGGTGAAACGTCGCTCACTCACGGGATGGTTTGTTCAACTAGGCGACTCGCCGATTTCCTGGAAGACCAAAAAGCAGGCCACGTTAGCTTGCTCTTCCGCCGAGGCAGAATATCGCGCCATGGCGTCCACAACACGAGAACTTGTATGGCTGCGACAACTTCTCTGCGATCTCGGCGTGTCTCTCCATCAACCTATACAGTTGAATTGTGATAGTCAAGCAGCCATCCATATTTCCTCTAATCCCGTCTTCCATGAACGCACTAAGCACATCGAAATAGACTGTCATTACGTACGGGATCAGATTGAAGCTGGCATTTTAGTCCCTCGACACGTCAACACCCGTCTCCAACTGGCTGACATCTTCACTAAGGCTCTCGGTAAACGAGAGT